CTCCAGCATCATCCTGTGGGGAAGGCCTTGTTATCCTTTTACAGATGGGAGTCAGGTCCAGGCCACACAGTGATAGCATCAGGTTTGGAACTCAGGACTGCCTCCAAAGTCCGGGCTTGTTTCATGTACCTTGCCATCTACCTACTATGTGGGTGTTACCCGATGGGACCACAAGAGGTGTTCTGACAAAAATGCCATTGGGTGGGAATCAGCGTTTTTTCATAAAAGAGGTAGCAGGTAGGCCAAAGCTTGAGAAGGGGTAGTCTCCATTCCGCCTTAGTCATTGTGTCCTTCTCTATCAAGGAAGGTCTTCCTGTGTCTAACCTGAGCCCCACCTGGGGTGGTCTAGGAGCTCTGCTTACACCTTGATGGGCACCCCCCTCCCTAACCCCATCTTCCTGGTGTTTGTTTCTCCACAGGGTACGGGCTCCTCTTCCTGTCTTTAGTCATTACACCCATTGTCCGGGCCAAGCTCTCCAAGCTGGTGAGCAAGTCAGAGCAGGGTAAGTGTCATGGTCAACCAGCATCCGGTTCCTTGTGCCCAATGTTCTCAGAACAAATTGCCCAGGACAGGCAGAGGACCACAGTGTCTTGGGTTTTCAGACCACAGGGTTGGAATTTGCAGTCAGCAAAGCACCATTTTGGTCTTTGGGTGACCCAAACAGAGGATTGATTTACCCTCTCCAGACCTCAGCTTTTCCATCTGTAAAATGGATGCAGTGATGCCAGCGTGCCCTGCTTCACTGGGGTCAGAGCGTACAAGCTCAGAGGGCGCGAGCAACTTTGTGGTGTAGGTTTCATTGTCCCTAAGATGAGGAAGCCGAGGCCCAGAGGGTTAAATTGACTTACTCGGGGCCACTCAGAAAGTGGTGGTGCTAGGATGCAAACCCAGGTCTGTTTTTAAGAGCAGCAGGTCTGGGGATCTGGGTTTTAGTCCTGGCTCTGTTACCCACTGGCTGTGTGATCTTAGGCAGGTCCCTTTTCCCTCTCTGGGACTGTTTCCTCATTTATGTCAGAGTGTTGTTGCTTTTTTAATGTCTTTATTGATTTTAGAGAGGAAGGGAGAGGGGGAGAGAGAAACAATGATGAGAGAATCTGATCAGGCTGCCTCCTACACGCGTCCTATTGGGGACCAAGCCTGCAACCTGGGCATGTGCCCGGACCTGTGCACGGGGGAGAGGGGGAGAGAGAAACAATGATGAGAGAATCTGATCAGGCTGCCTCCTACACGCGTCCTACTGGGGACCAAGCCTGCAACCTGGGCATGTGCCGGACCTGTGCACGGGATGATGCTCAGCCAACTGAGCACACTGGCCAGGGCAAGAGATGCTCAGCCAACTGAGCCACACTGGCCTGGGCAAGAGTGGTTTGTTCTTGATGACATCTACAGGCCCTTCCAGCTCTGGTGGTCTGACAGTTTAATCTCAACTTCCGTTGGATTATTGCTCATTTCACAAAATTTGGGTTCTGCTGGCATAACTATAAAGAAGAGCTTTTCTCTGGCCTCTGGGTCTTCAGACCCCGATCTAGAAATATCTGGCTCATCCACTTCTCCCCATCTGCCCTGGAAGGAGGACTTGGAGCCGTAGATAGCCCACTATCCGTTCTATTGTCCCAGGACCCAGGTGCTTTCACTCATTCACTCAGTAAGCTTTTTTATCCAGCACCTTCACGGTGCCCGGAGGTGCCAGGGGAACAAGAAAAAAGAACAGCCCTTACTAACTGGCTCCCTCCAGGGGCCAGGCCCTGTGATAGGAGCTTTACATGGGAATTCAGTGTTGTCACCAATCTATGAAGTAGGTAGTATCCTTATGGAACAAAAAGGGTGCAAGAACCCAGAAGGTTAAGCACTTGTTCAGTGACCACACAGCTAATTAGCGTTGGAACTGGGAATTAACCCCACGAGGAACCTCAGGCAGGATATGACTCGAAGGGGTTAAACCAACAACCATTTTCCCCAGGCTTTTGCTCGAAGGTAATCGCATGTACTTTGGCTGCATGGATTTAACAACAGCCATTCGTTTCATAGCCCCTGTGTGCCAGGTGCTTTCCATGAATGGCCTCATGAAACCTTATCACAACACATGACGCAGGCTCTACAGGTGAGGAGGGCGAGACTCCGAGAGATTCAGTGACGTGCCACAGTTCGCACAGCTGCGAGGCAGTGGTGCCAGGATTTGAACCTACGTCTTCCAGACTCCACAGTGTGGTGTTTCTTTCTTCGCAGGTGCTCTCTTTTCTGCTGTGGCCTGTGTGAATGGCCTCGCCATGCTGATGGCCTCCAGCATCTTCAACTCGCTCTACCCAGCCACCCTGAACTTCATGAAGGGGTTTCCCTTCCTCCTGGGAGCTGGCCTCCTCTTCATCCCTGCCATTCTGATTGGGTAACTGAGGACTCTGTCCCAGGCTCCTGTGCTCTTTATCCCAAAGGTTCCCTCTTCCTCCTCCTGCCGACCAGAAATGGCTGCCTGGACCCCTTCCTGTGGGTGTTTCAGGCCCAGCCTGACTCTCCCCCTGCAGATGGCTGCCTAATCCTCTGGAGCCACTTCCCGAGGGCAGGACAGGGGGGCAGTAGGGGAAGGGTCAGGCCAACATTGCTTCTTGGCAAGGTTGGTCTCTCCCCTTCGTCCCCCTCCATCCGCATTTTACGGATGGAACCATGGCGACAAATCTGCCAGAGAGCCTCCTTGGCTGGTTGTGGCTGGGCCACAGGCTAGCCTGCCCACTGACTTCTGCCCCCATAGCCTTCCGACTCCCTTTCCAGAGCCCTCTTCTCAGGACGTTGCCTTTCACCTCTATGTTGGGAGGGGGGATACCTGTTCCGGCCCACCCAACGAAGCCTGTGTCGCTTCTTCAGGAGTTGAAGAGGGTTCCCCCATATGTCAAATCTGAACCCTCTCTCTGGTCTCTCGCAGGATTCTTGGAAGGACTGAGCCTCGCTCTGAATTCCAGCAGTTTCCCCAGAGCCCCTGATCTGCCCAGACGTGAGAACAAAGGGCAAGAGGGGCGAAGTGAGCACTAACCAGCTGGAAGTATGCCCCTGGGACCCCACCCACAGCAGCAGCAGCCGCTCCCCTCAAAGGCAGTGTTCACCCTGGATAAGGTGGTCAGGCTAGACCAGGGCCCCCACCTCATCCAAAGCTTGCCAGCCTATGACTCGGGGATCTGGAATTGGAACCCAGACATTCTGACTCCACGGCAGGCAGTGGCGGGAGGGACATTTGGAACAGGGGCTTCTGTTCATCCTTTATGCAATTACGTACAACCCTCCAGGGGAGAGAGGAGGTCCTGAGGGAGGTGATGCCTCCGGGACCAGTTCAAGTACGAGGGGTGGCCTCTCTGCTTCCAACCCAGACTACACAGCTCACAGTTCATTGTGAGCAGCCACCAACCACGCCTTAATGATGAATATTTCGAGGGGAGGAAGTGTTGTGGGGATGGAGAGAGAGTGCTGCGGACTCAGTGGAATCAAGCCCCTGGCTTAGCAGTGCCAACCATCATAATAAATCAGCATAAGCACACTGACATGAATCGTCTGGTACCCAAGGCATTGGGCTGTGGGCCCTTTATTTTCTGTCCCGTCTGCCCCCATGAGTCACACAGCAGCTGCTGGGCTGGGCTGGGCAGAAGCCCTTGAGCTGCCATGGGATTGGTCCTGGGCGTGGCCAGCCCAGACCTCATCTGACTGCCCATTCTGTTCTCCTGAGCTGCTGGGAGATGAAGGGCTGCCAGACTTGCATCAAGCCAAGCAGCGAGGCTTGGAGCAGAGCCCTGGCCGCTCGTTCTGAGGGTTAGATCCGCTCCCTGAAGGCGCCAGTACTGGTCCCCCTGGCAACAACAGCCCAAGCAGAATTAGGTTTTATCACTCAGCCCTGCCAACACCTCCCATCGCCAGGTATTTCAGCCGGGCCTTGTGCTGAGACCGTCCCTCAGCCTGGATCTGAAGTTGAAAAGGCAAAATTGGATTTGATATTAAGGTACCATAAGCCTCCAAGCAGACCCAGATCAGGTGGGACTTGACTCTTCAAACCAGACTTGGCCACAGGGTCCAGCCCCCTAATGCCATTTCTACCCCATTCTCTCTTACCAGCCCTGCCAGTCAGTTTTCTGGCTGGAAATCACTCAAGTAAAATGGGTGTGGCCTAGGACAAACCAAGGTCAATGTGGCCTTTACAGCCCAGGCCTGTCTCTAGATTCCCACCTCACTGTCCCCTCTGTCACTGGAAGACTGGAGCAAGAAGAGGACAATCCACTGATTGTCCCAGCATGGGGCAGGAGGGGGACGGGGGAGGAAGGCGCTGGGCTGGGCTCAGGCCTGGGCTCTACTCCAGCCACTGCCTGGTTCACGGGTGACCTTGAGCAAGCCCGCCGTCGAAAGGCTAGATCTGATCATGGTTGGACAGGTTAGGAAACACTGGGTTAGAGGTAATATTCTGAGATCCTTTCCGCCTCATACGTTCTAGAATGAAATGCCTCTCTTCGTGGACCTGGGGGAAGGATAAATGAGTTGGAGCTGGACTTTTGATCTTTGAGTGTCCCTGAGCAGTTCTCGGTCCCTGGGGAGGCGTGGGGTAGGGACCTAGTTGACTCACCTCCAACGTGGGGACAGCAGCTACAGTCCAGCCAAGCAGAAAACCCTGGCCCTGCAGACCTGCGTCAGAGCAGGCTTTGGGGGAAAGGCTAATTCTCAGCTCTCTGCTGCAGGGCCAGCCCTGTGAGGCCAGGCCTAGGTGGAAGGTGGGGGCCAAGGTGCCTGTCCTGTCACTGCAGGGAGGCAGTTCCGAGAACACACAGGCCTGGCTGGGGGGAGGGTCATCACTTCAGCTGCTGGTGGGTTTGGGGGGTGGGGAGGCTGAGTTCTGATTCCCCAGAGAGACAGGAGGGGCAGCACTGGAGGGTGTGCCAAGCAGAAAAAACAGGGCTGGGAACCCCTCAGAGCACTGTCCATGGGGGACCTCAGGAGGGAGTGGGATTGGGGACAAAAAGACAGAAAGCTCCTGGAGGGTATTGGCCGCACTGTATTGTTACTGCCTCTGCTCTGTGAGCGCAATGTCTCGTCTGCCTTAGTCACCATCAGAGCTAGGGCCCGGCAGTGGTGGGCCCCGTGTTGGCATGAACGAGGAAGTGCAGTCAAAGCCGGAGCTAGGGCCAGCTAAACAGTGTCTTTGGCAGGGAGGGGAGTGGGAGAAGTACCGAGGGTGGAGTGAGACCTTTGACTTCCTGACCATGTGGCTCAAGAGCTAAGAGTGACCTGGCCAGCACCTGCAGGAGGCACTCTGGGAGCTGAGCCAGCCTTGAGGTGCGAACATGCTGCTCAAGAGGGAAGAGGCAGGCCTGGTTAGCTGGAGCTTTCCTACCCTCCTGGAGGAAGGGGCAGAGAGGTGTTCCTGCTCATTTATTTCTGTAGAGCCCCTCGGTCAAAAACCTATCCCCACTTCTAGATTCTTTGGGGCGAGGAAGAAGCCAGCTGTCTGTGGAGCGGCAGCCCAGCCGGGTCTCAGCCTCCAGCATGATTCTCAGGAGGGCAGTGCCACCAGCAGTGGGCTGAGCACCAGGAGGCCAGGTCTGCATCCTGGGCTGCCACTCATGGCTTAGAAAATGTCACATCATTTGACTCCACTGTAAAAATGGAGATCACATCGGGTAACGTAAAATGGCTCTGATGATTGCGGAGACCATGGAGCGGGGTGCCGGGGAGCTGGTAAAGGGGGGTAAGGGGTTTGTATTTCAGAGCCTGGCTACTTAAAATGTCATTTCTTGACCACCATCGTGGGCTCACCTGGGAATCAAAAATGCAGAAGTCCAGGCCCCACCCCAGGTCGCCTGAGTGGAATTGTAACAAAATTCCCAGGTGGTTTGAATGTGCCCCCTGCCCTTCCTCAGGACACTGCCTCCTCCCAAGGAGCTGCAGGCTCTGCCCAGGCTACTGCTGGGAGGGGCTGGGGAGGCCAGCTGAGCCGGGGGGGCGGGGGGCAGGAGCCTGAGGCACAGCACCAAGGCATGGGAGGGTGGCTGGCAGCCCTTTGAGACATGGCCGCCCCTGCCCAGGCCCGAGCAGGGAGTGCCATGTACCTGTGAGTGCTTCAAACCCAGCCGCAGCTGCAAAGCAGCCAGAGGAGGGGCTGGCTCAGCCCAATCCTGACCCAGGATGTGGCAAGAGAGGCTGTGCCTCAGGGAGGCTAGGAAGGGACTTGGGACCAGACCAGGTCAGCTAAGGACACTGAGTGATTTCAGGGCAAGGCCACAGGGTGGCAGGAAGTGGTGAACCTGGGCACCAGCACAGTGTAGGTGGAGAGCCACCAGTGGACTTTTATCCCTGCTGGTTCCCAGGCCCAGGCCGCTGGGCTGGGAGGGCTGGGCATTGCCTTAATTCCTGTCAGAGGCTGCCTGACGTCCCCTACTCAAGCTGGCTGATGTCAGGGCAGGAGAGGGGGTTGTGCGCAGTGAAACCTCGCTCGTCGGTGTCTCCAGAACTGATCCGTGACCCTCCCACACCTGAGACAGAGAACCTGGTGGCAGGGCTTAAGGGTGGCCTAACCCTTACCATCCCCAGTGCCTTGCTTCCCTTTCTGGATACTGAGGAAGCTGGGTTTGAGGTGGCCCATGGGGGTCTGGGAGAGGGAGAGCCATTTCCTGAGAAGGGCCAGGCTGTCTCAGCCCAGGGAGGCCAGTGTGCGGAGCTGCTCCTTCCAGGGAGACCATAGAAATGGGGGTCACAGCAGGACGTGGGGACTAGGGACTGGTTAAGTCGGGCCCATGGGTGTAACACCCTCCAAACTGGTGTCAGAGCCTGCAGACGAGTCCCGGGAGGAGCGGCCCTGCAGGAAGCGGATGATCTTCTCAATGGTGGCCTCCTGGTACTCGTGGGACCACCTGTGGGCACAGAGGCCGGCGGGTCAGAGGGCCGGGAAGAGGGAACTGCTGGCTGGGGGCCTGTGTACCCACCACCCCCTCCTCACTTGATGCCGTTGAAGCTGAGCACGGCCTGCATGTCCTCGGGCAGGGCCTGCGGTTCTGGCCACTCGAAGCCATCAATGACGGGCACAATGTTCTTGCCACAGCTCAAAGCAGTCACGATCTCCTGGAGAAAGGAGGGAGGAGGAAGAGATCAGGGTCCCCTAAAGTCCACCTTGACTTCTCGCTCGCCCTTTGTGGTAGAATAAACAATATTTGGTCTCTGTCCTCAGTTCTTAGCACAGAGCTCTTCTAACCTCCAGATATCTGGGTGAAGGTGCCTAGATAGCTTCAGGATGGGGACTGGTAGAGTGGGGGGAGATCAAGGTCTGATTAGAGGGTTGGAACTTACAGCTCCCTCACCCCAACACACCACCAGGGAGGGGAGGGGGGATGGAGATTGAGTTCATTCACCAACAGTCAATGACTCAATCATACCCACATAATAAAACCTCCATCAGAGCCCCTAAACATGGGTTGAGCACATCTAGGTGCTGGGAGAGTGTCCTGGAGAGGACACGGGAGCTCTGGGCCTCGCCTGCCGGCATCCCCACCCCCTCCCTTGCCCTCATATCCTTTATAAAAATCCAGTAGGTAAAGTGCTTTCCTGAGCTCTTCACATCATTTTAGCAAATTATTGAACCTGGTGTGGAGAGTCATGGGAACCCCTGAATTTGTAGCCAAGTCAGAAGTGTGGGTAGCCTGGGAACCTGGGACTTTCGACTGGCATCTGAAGTGAGGGCAGACTTGTGGGACAGAGCCCTTCTACCTGTGGAGCCTGACACTCACTGTGGGTAGTTAGTATCAGAATTGAATTGAATTGTGGGACACCCAGTTGGTGGTGAGTTGGAGAACTGGCTATTGGTGTGGGAATAAACCCACACAATTTGGTGTCAGAAGAAAAACATCACACACCCCTGCATCCAAATCGATCCCTCACCAGCCCTGCAAAGCATACTCATTTTTCTTTCTTACTTTTCAAATCCACCCGTTTTTCTCTCCCTGTACCCCACCACTCTCCCGCTCCATCCTCCTCGCTTATCTTCATCCTCCTCCAGGTCTGTTCGCATCCATTTCTGGCTCCCTTCTGATTTGTGCTCTACATGGTCCCCTCACCCAGCTACCCTCAAAATGCAAATTTGAGCGTGTCACTCCTTGCTTAAAACTCCCCAGGACTTCACATGGCTCAGAAAAGGAGTTCAAACTCCTTAATGTCTGAAGGTCCTGCGTGGCTGGCCACAGCTCACTTCTCAAACTCCATGTCTGCACTGTCCTCCCGGCTAAACAGACCTTGCAGTCCCTTAGATTTGCCCTCCTCCCTCCCTGCACAGGGCCTTTGCACATGCTGTTTCCTCTGTCTGGAATGCTCTTCCCTGCCTCTTCACTGTATTCATGCCGACTCATTTTTCTGATCTGCAGCCAAACAACACTTTCCCAGGGAAGTCTTCCCTCACTTTCTTGACCAGGTCAGATTCCCCTATTATAGGCTCTCATAGCTTCTGCAGCACATGCTAGAGTTGCAAATTTAAGTTAATTAATGAGTAGTTTACTTAATATCTGTCTTCCCTAGCAGATAAAAGGGCAGGGATGCAGTTATATCTCAGTATCTCCCGCAAAGCCATGCCCGTAGTCAACCCTTGCTTAATACTTAATGGATGGCTGGATGAATAAATGAATAATACAACATCGCATGGCAGTTAGGGAGCATACTCTGGAATTATCAGATCTGGGTTCACATTGAGTCTACCACACAGACTTTGTGACCTGAGGCAAAAACAGCTGGCTCTCAAAGCCTCTGTTTTCTCATATATAAAATAGGGTTGCCCTGACCAGTGTGCTCAGCGGTTAGAGTGTCAGCCCACACACCAAAGGATTGCGGGTTCAATTCCTGGTCAAGGGTACGTACCTGGGTTGCAGGATCCCTAGTTCCACACTCGGAGCTTGTGCGGAAGGCAACCCATCAGTGTGTTTCTCTCACATCGATGTCTCTCTCTCACTCCCCCTCCCTTCCACTCTCTAAAAATCAATGGAAAAAATATCCTCAGGTGAGGATTAACAACAAAAGAGGGTTAATGACAGTCCCTCTCTTGTAGGATCACTGGAAGGAATAACTACCATATCCCATGGCAAGTGGTTAGAACAGCTCCCAGCATGTAGTGCGCTTACTAAATAATAAGTGCTAGTATTTCCTCCTCGGTAAAGGGGCTAATAAACCTACTTCACAAGGTTGCTCTGAGAATATTACTTACTATTAATGGGTGCTCTGGTAAGTGCTTATTAGATGGGTTTTTTCCCTTTGAAAGGGGAACCACAGGGATTGGATTTCCCTGAATGCAGTTCACTTGTGGTTTTCCATATTGATTACCCACCAAATGTGGCTTCGGGGAAAGGAGTTTTAAAACCAAAGGCAATTAAGCTCTAAAAACTACCAAGGAGCGATGGTGGAGCCTTTGTTACTGGTCCAAGGCAAAGGCTCCCACCACCAGCCTCCCGCCTCCCGCCTTGCAGTCTGCTGGGTGCCAAGGCCCTTGAGCACAGCCTTCCTGGGAAAGTCCCTGCATAACTGCAACCCTGACTGACTCCTGGGGAACCTCTCCATTGCACAAATGAGAAGAAGGTTTGTGGTCTTAATTCCTTTGTGCCTCTCATTCTGCTCCCCTGCCCTCTTCCCTCCTGGAGGTTATATTTCAAAGTGTTTTCATCTCTCTCTGACCCTCGCAACAATCCTACAAAGTGAATAGGACAGGTAAGTTACCCCCATTTTGTAGATGAGAGGCATGGGTCCAGAGAGCCTAAGTGACTTGCTGGAGTCCTATTACAGTCAGAGCTGTGACTCCTGACTTCCAGCTGGTCCATGGAGGTTGCTGGGGTGTGCAGATGAGAAGGAACAGGAGACCCTTGTGTCCCTGGGCCGCAGGCCAATGCTGGGACCACAGAGGCCAGCACCTACCTTGTGCACCCAGTCCTTGCAGTCATGGTCCTGCATGCACTTGTCCAGGGCCCCGGCTGACAGCACCAGCACAAAGTTGCGGGCCCCCATGACACTCTGGATGAGCTTGTCCTCAAACTTGCCGGCTTCCAGTTTCTCCACATCAATGAAGACATTGAAGCCATGCAGCTGCAGGTGCACCTTCAGGAGGCTGTGAAGAGGCCATTTGTCACTGCGCTGGCCTCACCCGAAGGCCTGAGGCTGCCTGCCTGCCCCCTCCTCCTCACCTGGCCAGCTGGGAGCCTGAGCTCCGGCGGTAGCTGATGAAGACATCCGGAATGTCCCCACTCGGCTTGCCGGCAGTGCAGGGCAGAGGGGAGTGTAGCATTTCTGAGGGGGACAGGAGACAGCTTGGTGAGGGTGCCCCCTCACCATTACTCATAATGAGGTACATCGTCCCTTGGGGTCTACAGGGAGGAAGGGCGCTAAGTCTTGGTGAGTCCCTCTCAGGAGGCAGGCGTGGTGTTTTAGGGACATTTTTATGCACCTCCAGCTCTGGCCCTCTCTCTGGAGCTCCAGACCTGCATAGCCAGCTGCCCACAGGCACTTCAAACCCAACACATCCTAAATCCTTCCTCCTAGTTTCCCACCAGTCAGAGACCTGGGTGTCAGCCTCAACTCCTGCCTCTCATCCATTCACTCAACCATGTTTACTAAGCGCTCACTGTGTGCCAGTCTTAGTGCTTGGGTTACAGCAGTGAGCAGAACCAACAAACCCTGTCCTGATGGAGCTGATGTCCAGTGCTCAGGGCCAGGCACCATGCTCTGTGGCTTCTTCCTACTAAACAACTAGACTCCAGCCTCAGGGCCCTCCTTATGTCCCCCAACTCTAGCCCTCTCAGTGGTCTCCCCAAACCCACACTCGCCCCGTCTAATCTGTTGCACAGCTACCAAAGGGATCTTTCTAAAATCCAAGTCTGAGCATGTCATTGCTCCCTACTCCCTGTAGAAGAGAGATTGGTAAGCTATTTTCCCCCTGTAGGATCCTTTTTTAAAAAATGATTCTGAAGGGTTTCCTGAGAGCTGCAAAGTAAAAATGACCAAATTTGACCTGCTTTGATTGAAGCAAAAGCATGGGACAAAGCTCAGTAAGTACTTGCTGAATGAATACACAAATGAAAAGAATCTTTCCTATATAATAAAAGGGTAATATGCAAATCGACCAAAAGGTGGGACGACTGGTCGGTATGATGTACACTGACCACCAGGGGGCAGGCACTCAATGCGGGAGCTATCCCTGGTGGTCAGTGTGCTCCCACAGGGGGACAAGCCCAGCTGATGGCTGGTGCAGTGGTGGTGGTGGGAGCCTCTCCTGCCTCTGCAGCAGCACTAAGGATGTCCGAGTGGCGACTTAGGCCCGCTCCCTGCGG